AGAGTCAGTGTCTGAAGTGGTCAATCAAAGCAGTGGTAGGGCCTGAGCTGGTCCTGAGTCAAGTGCGTGCTTAAGTCTAAGATAAGTCAGATAGTATTCCTACACTACCCCTGTCTACTGTTTCAGTACAGTTTAGTCTTGTTTTGGCAATTAGGACAGGCTTAAGGAGATTTAGCTTATGATTCTGAGTGATTATATATTAACTGGAAGTGTGCAAACATGCTGTTGATTTGTGCTGTTCCTCTTGCCTCTTTAAGTTGGAATGGACTGCAATCTGCAGCAGCAGTTTTATTATAGAGTGATGTTGGGTGTGAGGAAGAGAAGGAAGGAGGAAGGGAGTTCCACATGCCAGAGAAGCCAAATCTGAAAACCAAATGTAAAGACAGAGGAAGGGAAGTGGATGCCTCGTTCTAATTCGTAGCGGTGTAGTGAGTGTAATAGCTCACCACTACACTCCCTTTACACCATCAACCCTGTGATTTGTCACAGAACGTAAACAGAAACTTGCCAGCTCAATCCGTGGCTCCAGTGAGAAGGGAAATGTTGGTGGAACGTTTGCCGGTGAGTTTGAGCAAATTGTGAACGAGGCTCTCAGAGCTCAGTACGACCATGAAAGTGAGATGCCAAAATGGTGGGTGTGGTGTGTGTGTGTGTTGTGGTGGTGTGCGTGGCGTGTCTTGTTGGTGCAAGGAACGAAATGAAAGGCATGGATCTTCTTAAGCATATCTATTCCCAGCCATGCAACTTATGCAGCGTTAATAATCACAATGGCACTTTAGTGCCCATCGCACAGAAATGATTGTCGCCGTTAAGGCCAAAGCATCTTTCATAAAAATTTATAGGGAGATTAGCAATGATGGCTTTATAATCAGTTTGGTTGCAAGCCTCTTTCCAGATTGACAAAATCCGGTGCTGATCGCCCTACACATATCAGAGATTTTGTTATCAAGCTGGAGGCGCCCATTGACTCACAGTGAGAACTCATTTGCTATATGTACTATATCATCACATGTCTTAAGCTGTGTCCAACCACGTAACCACCCTTACAGATGATTTTATTACTGTCCGTCCTGACACAGTAAGCTACACCTCCGTCCTACTTCAACCCACCCCCGAACTAGTTTTCCATCCACCCAGGATATACCCACATTTGACAATGGGAGAGGCACACTTTGCAGAATGTTCCTCTCGTCCCTTCTTCTACGTTTAAGGATCCCTAATTCTACGCAAAACAGCAATAAAGGGAACACACCTATTAAGCCCAGAAATTATCCACCAGCCCCAAGTTAATGTAAATACACACAAACACTTCCTTTCTCTCTTTACAGGACAATACAAGAGTGATATAGTAGACCCTTCTTCCCCATTGAGAAATAAATTATTATAGAGAAAGTGGCACAGCATTCCGCACCTACCACCAACCTCATCCCACTGCTAGCTGAGAGCAGCACAGGATACCAGGGGATCAATAATTTATGAAAGACTGACTACAGCGGAATAAATTTATTCCTCATTTAATTTGGCAGTGTGTTATGGTATGTGAAACGAATTATTTAAAGGATTCTAATCATTCCGACCTTAAACATGCATGATAAAGTTTAGCACATCAATGAAGGATTGTCAAGCATAGACCAACACGAGCAGACTGGACTGCTCGCTGGCGCGCGCGCGCGCGCCCTTTTCTAACCCATGTTTCACCCACTCCGCTCACCCCCCGCCCGCCCTACATAGCGCCGAGCGAGACGCAGCAGCAGAGAACAAGAGGAAAGCGTTCCACAGAAACGCATTTTAATCAGGCCTGATCAGAATGATTAGCGAGCAGGACGTACGGAAGCTGTAAGACACCACAAACCACCGACCAAGAGCACAGTTTGTGGTATTATGCATTAATAGACCAACATGTGCTGTTAAAACTGAGGAGTGACGGAAAGGGAGTGAGGGAATGATCCAGTAGAGATAGCAGTTCAAACCAACTTCCATCATCGCAAACAACAACCAAAAAGACAGAACACCAAGCCGCAAACACAAACACCTCAACAGTTCAGTCAAGCAGAGAAAGCAAAAAAATGGGGTATCGGCATGAGCCCTTAAAAAGAATGAAAGTCAACTAAAAGTACCACACCTGCTTAGTAGCTCCCATGGTCCTAGCAGAAAGGATGAAGCCATATTTGGCTAACAAAGGGCGCGAGACCAAACTTTCAATACCTCTGCGGTTGACTAACCGAAACACACTAGCACGTTAAAAGTCTCAGAGAGGATCTTAATACCGGGCGCCATCTTGTCAAATCACTGTGGGTAGTCTAAGCTGTTAGAACGCGCCAAAGGTCTGATTACAACGGAGCGCCTCTAAGCCAAGGCTCACCGCCCAGACATCTCCTCAGTCCTCCCCCTTCCCCACCAGCTAACATGGACCACCAAACTGTAGAGCCCAGGATGTTACAGGCCGGCTATGGACCACTGGAAGGTACGGTCCAGTAGGGCCTGGCCACCCCCGTCACCTAAAGGTCGGCAGCCTGGAGCCAACCGTACCCCCTTTTCCCCACGCACCCCCACCCATACAGAGCGAGTGAGGACATAGACTGTACTGAGCCCAGCCGAAGGGGCACCGTGAGCAACAGGACCAGAACCCACTTACAGCCCAGGGCCGCGGCGGGACCGGCTGCAGCCCAGGTTACCAGCAACCAGTTGAACAACAACAAACGACAACCTTGCCACAGAAGTCCAACAATGAAAGAACCTCCACACTCGCCCCCTTGCCCATCAAACGACGCATGGCGCCCAACCCAAACACCTATGTGGACCGCGTGTCAGAGAATCATTGAACAGACGCATTACGTCAAGGACCTGCGCATCATCCGGAGGTGAGGAGTCAGGGTTGCGACGGCTCAAATGAATTTTCCGTTTAAGTTGGTGTTTCACTTTTGACCAAAGCATCACTGCAGCCAACCATGTTGATATACAGGAAAAATCATCAGTAATTCTGGCATTTTAAAGCCATGTTGACTTGATTAATAATTCATCAGACTTCATGTCTGTATAACTATGTTGGAGGTTGATTTACTGAATGTTTGCCTGCCAGAAGCCAAAAAGGGAAATTGACCAACGCGAAGAGCAAAATATGCTTCTGGTCCTAAGACGTTTGGCCACAAAAGTCCTGGTACTTAAAACATCATAGATTTTTCTTTTTCTTCATTTTACCAGATCCCTTCTACTCTTGATTTCTAAACAAATCGTCATTTACGTGACAAAAAGTAGACCTACAATCGCAATTGTGGTGCTTTTGGTTAAAATTCATTCTTAGAGATGAAGCTGTAAGCAATATATACGTTCCCAGGTTGTATATAAATCATTCGATATTACATCATAAAGTTACATCTACCAA